CCTCTTATACCTTCCAGCGTTGGCTTATGTGCTCCTCGAACTCCGGGCACGCATCCCTCAAGCCCGAGTTCTCTCTATCTGTGTAAATTTTGCCATTACCGTATCCCTGGAACAGCTTGCCCCTCGGCCGCTCTATGGTTCCATGACATGGCAGGCGGAGCACTGCAATCGCCCAAAAGCACCGCGAAGGCTTGCCCTATCCCTGCCTCTGCTTCATCCGCAACAACCTGAGCCCCGTTCGCTACATTCTAGTCCCTTTCACTAAGTGCGCTGTCGCATGGCTTGATAGATTAGCACTGACCAACCATAAGGGTTGTTCAATGAATGTTCACTGTGTTGGGATCCACGGTTTTGTCCAGTTCTAGCCTGAGGCTTACGGCTTGGGCCTGGGGATTTAGGGTTTAGGGTTAGGGTTTAGGGGTAAGGGTTAAGGGTTTTGGGTTTAGGGTTTGGGGTTTAGTTTAGGGTTTTGCGGGTTAGGGGTTTTTTTTCGCTCCCGCATAGCTGGCCGAACCGCAAGGCAGGGTGACGTCGATGAGAACTCTCTGTGCCCGAAAAAATGAGGCCCATTATCGGACCTGTCTGCTCCAAGGCCATTTCCCTCTTTACGAAAGCCGCCTCACCACAACCATCTAGCACACGAACGCCCAACCCTTTCGAATGTCCCCCTCCTTCAAAGCCGGGAAATAGCCGCTTCAGTGCACCACTGCTACCCGATCCAATCTTGCGTGAGTTTCCGCAACATTAAAACCACAAATGGCTATCAGACATAAATCAACCTGGACTCATCAAGATTGTCAGCACGTTTGTACAGCAAGAGGACCCCCCCCGTACTCCGGGGGTCTTCTACTTAGGATGGCCTTCCAGCAGAGGGCGCCATGTTCGGTGCAAGCACCCAAAAACTGACACACATAGGTCTGACACACTCATTCGTAGTCCCTCCCATGCTGAAGGCTTCGGTCTTCAGACAGCGAATTCAAGCGACACCGTCGTGCACACCAGCCCCATCTCGTCTCCTCACGACTCCTGAAAAATTCAGGACTCATCTGAATTTCATCTGAATTCGAATTCATATCAAATTCGTATCACATGACATCACGTCACGTGTTCTCTGAATTCATATCACATCACATCACGTGTTCTCTGAATTCCCACGAATTCCAATCGTGTCTGTCGTACCTCGAATTCTATCCAGTCTCGAATTAGCGAATTTGAATTATTGAATTCCATGCAGGTCTTGCGAATTCTGTAAATTCCCTAAATTCCCTGAATTGTTCATGAATTCTCAACTAATTCGCGCATTCTAGAAATCAATTGGTGAATTCTGGCATGGAGACAGGCATCAGTGGAACACTTCGCCCAAACCTCTCACACCCAAACCTAACATGGCCCCCACCGCTAGCGACATAACAACACGTGATTCACTCATGTCCCGCGTGTGCTCCACGCAATCTCGCTCGAGGCACGGATGCACACCCTCAGAGGGGCTAGATTAGGCAGCTCTGCATCGGCGTTGCGACCCTCACCAAACACAAAAACACCAACATAGATCCAGAGACCCTTTAAAGAAACCCGCACCAGTACCCCAACCGACATAGATCCCAACAATAGTCACAGGATTATACGCCGCTGCCTCTCGCGTGTGTGTGCTCGCAGCACTCCACACTTTCTTCAGACAAAGGACAAGACGAAACATCTCGGCATCGGAGTGCAACCAATATCAAACACGAACACACCAACATAGATCCGGAGCCCAATAAGAGGTTCCCGAAACAGTACCCCAACCCACATAGATCCTACCAATGCGAACACCTACGACCAACGCCGATACGTTTAGTGCCACTGTAGCGCAACACTCTACACTTGCTTCAGACAAAGGACAAGACGAGAAATATCGGCATCGGAGTGCAACAAATATCAAACACGAACACACCAACATAGATCCGGAGCCCAATAAGAGGTTCCCGAAACAGTACCCCAACCCACATAGATCCTACCAATGCCAACACCTACGACCAACGCCGATACGCGTAGTGCCACTGCAGCACACTCCCTCAGAGTTTCAGCCATGCACACTAATGAAAAGCGTGCTCTTCATCTTCCAGAGTCCAGCCATCGTACAAAAAATCGTCTCTCTGCTGGCGTCTCCAGTCGTCGGCTGCCCTCCATGTGGTACCCCTTGTGCAGTCAGGGGCCCCGCTGCCTGCCCCCAGTGCCTGCTCATCTCGAAGGCACCACCGCCGGAGATTCTAGTTTCTACCTCTCAGCGTCCAGGCTGGTCTTTTCAGCACAGTCAAAAGGGCCTCCCCCCAAGTGTCCCACACCATCGACGCGTGGCAGCGGTGAAGTCCAGAAATGCGAACGGACGCCATCATGATTCTCAGCAAAGGTCGAGGCAACGCGTAACCTGCCGATCAGTCCAAACTTGCCAGATTCAAAGGTCGAGGCAACGCGTAACCTGCCCACCAGGCCAAACTTTCCAGATTCGAATAAGTCCAAGCTTGCTGACCATCACAGCGAGGTCCTTCCCACCCTAGACCATGCCTGTGTCAACATCTTCGGTTCCCCATCCAGTTGCTTCAAGCGGCATCGATCGCGATGCTGCTTCTTGGTGGACACCATGCACCAGCACCATTCAGAGCATGCTCTGCACCAGTTGTCCTCCTCGCCTCCACCGGTTAGGGGTTTAGGGTTTAGGGTTTAGGACTAGGGTTTAGGGAAATCTGGAGTTTCCACTCCAATGTCCCGAGGTCCGGGCCAAGCTCAGCAGATGGCTCGTGCCGTTGATTCCTTAGATGCGGTGCTCGCCCCACTCCCTTGACGCTACAACCCAGTGCATGCCCGGACTCTCACAACAACATAGAGAAAATATGAACAATATGAATATGAACAAGTTAAGAGTATAAATCATGCAGCAATACCAGCACATCTCTATGTAATTATTTATCGAGCATGCCAAACAACCAAGAAGGAATGAACAGTACTATTTAGAATCACGATATTCCCGACTACCCCGGTTGGCCATTTTATCCCGCTTCGGCAGTGTCCGCGGAAACAGCATGCGCTCGAGCTTGGGAACCACTCCTAGAATCCTCAGCCAACTGAGTTCCTGAAGCGGGGGTTCTCTTGCAGGATGATGAGGATATGTGGGTCACTGGCTCGGCGTGACTTCAGCATTCGATGCCACTCATTGTATAGGGGAGCTCTTCCGCTCGAGCCGCTAGGGCGTCGGGTTTCCGATTTGAAGTTTTAGGACTGCAAAGCGGGTTTTCGGCTCAGCATTGAGGAAGGGTGTCGGGGTTGTAGGAGCTCCCGGAGGTTCAGCTGCGTACATGGTCCCCAAGCTCTTGAAACCTACCGGCCGTCATGGCTGTATGCACACGGGCTGTGGGACAAGGGCGTTTTGGGATTTCTCGACGTCGGGACCATCGGGGTTGGGTCCGGCAACGTTGGGCAGCTTCTTCAGTATCTCATTGACCCGCTCTTTCCAATCCTGGGAGGTGCAAGACTGGAGGTGCAAGGCACCAGCTTCCACAGGCAGCATCACTTGACCTAGACACTCACTCAGGTATTTTGGGTGGCTATCAGTACTGAGTCTATTCTTATTCTTGTTTACCTCCTAAACCCTGCTCCGGACCAAAGATGCATCCACGAAGTGCGGTCCTTTACCAGACATTGTTTAGGAGCCCAAGCAAGATCAGAACATTTCTGCCAAAGAGTCAGGCACAAGGTTGGACCTGTGGCGTGAGCTGGTATCCGGCTGGTCCTCAGTGCAACGTCTCTTGGCTGGGACCCTGCACGCACCCTCCCGACCCCTCGCCCATATTTGGCATCTTAGCAACCCGTGTGAAATCCAAGCAGCTGCAATATGGGCAAACATTGGAACCCGATGATGCTCGAAAGAAGCAAACATGAATCCGTGAACCCAACAAGCTGTCAAAATGTCTTCGGGGTGGAAGCAGCTCTACGTCAACCACTTGTCAGTCACCCATGTGATGAAAACTGGCTGGTTCTTAGTAGGAGGGAATGAGGGAATGAGGTACCCTATACATATACATATATACATATATATATATGTATATATGTATATACCCTCTAAGGGATTCCCCTCATTTCCTACGAAGGACCAGGGGAAAAGCACGCACTGCTGAACCTCTGGGCGGAGCTACGGAGCGTGACGCGTGGGAGGATGAGGTGAACCGAGCCCGCTTCCTGGGCAGCAAGGCTTGTTGCTTCAAGGGCAAGCAGGCAGCGGGGCTATCTATTGCACTGGGGTTTGAGCTTTCGATGTTGAGATCACGATGTTGTGGGTTGCAGGGGCTTCAACAGCTGGGAGAGATTTGGAGACAGCGCTGTTCGAGATCTTTGGAGTGGCGATGTTCGGAGTCATCTTGCCGCATCTGCAGACCGTCGCGAGTTGCCCCTCTCCCCTCGCTCTCTCTCTTCTCTCCCTCCTCTCTCCCGTCTCTCTCCCGCCATCCCTCCCTCCCTCTCTTTCTTTCTAGGGGCTTGGGGGCGAACCCCCGGGGTCATCGCCCGCCCCTGTATTTGGGGCTGTGCGTTGGCTCGGAGAGGTGCCTGCTGTGCCACTGGTACCATCCCATGCCCCGACCCTGCTACCCAGTGTATCCGTGGCTGTGCAGCAGGCCCCCCTTCCTGTCTTCCGGTCTACCTGTTGGACCTTCGTGAGACTTCGGTACTGTTAGCCTGTCGGTCTCGGGCCTCCCTTTATTCCCCTTAACCCGTGTCCCCCACAGCTCAACCTCCCCAAGTCCCCGACCCTCAACTCGCAAGGCCTTACACCGACCAGGCTGGTGAAACTGTGCGGCCTCTTCGTCCCCCTTTCCTTTCCTTCTGCCTACCCCCCCACAGCATTGGCACCCCTAGGTTCACTTTCGGGGTCGGGCCTTCTGCTACTTTGTGAGCTGGACGAAATCTCTGCCCCTTGTTTAACAGATACGCCCCCCAAGCAAGAACACCCCTACAGTAAGAGGTCATACCTACGGCCCCCGGCAACTAAGCCAGGTTGCTTCAATGCAGCTCGGCGTGTTCCCTTCTACGCCTATGATCCTCATCCCCCGGGTTCAGTAGTACTTGTCCCGCACCCACTCGTCTTCTGCTGGGCGTTCCCCCACTCCTCGACCGTCTCGTTCGCTGCCCCCAGCCCAGTCTGCGTCTTTGTTTGGACCTCCTCCTGGCTGCCGCCTCCCCCCTCTGCGCCTCCCCCCTTTTCCTGGCCGGTCCGGGGTAAGTGCTGTGCTGATGGGCGGGGGGTGCCACGGTAGAGTGGCTTGGGTGCGCGTGCCCCCCGCCCCAGTCTCCCCATTGCCACCTTCCATTCCTTCTTCTCCGTGGTGGTGATGATGGTGGTGGTGGTGGTGGTGATGGTGGTCTCGCCCCGCCTCTCTCTCTCTCTCTCTCTCCCTCCCTCCCCTCCCTCCCTCCCTCCCTCTCTCTCTCTCTCTCTCTCTCTCTCTCTCTCTCTCACTCACTCACTCGCCCAGGAGTGTGACATCCTCTGTTAGGCTTCAATCAGCCCTACCCTAAGCTGCTGTGCTCAGGCCGGGGGGCTGCGGAGCAGAAAGGAAGCCGCAATCATTGAACTCGGCCGCATCGTCCTGAGGTGGGCATAAGGGCTCGCGACTTAGAATCATACGATTACGGCTGGGCTGGTAGCTGCAACTCCAGCTGCAAAGCCCTAGATCTAAAAGAGCCCATGACCGAAATGGTGAACATGCCCAGAAAACTCTGGGCTCCAAGCATGCCTCTTAATTAATGAAAACGTAGGATGGTCTGCAATCCCTCAAAGCGGTAGATCCTTCGAACTCCAAGGCCAGGACGCCGGGCTCTCAAAATCTGTAAAACCTCATTTATCGTACCCCACAACTCCTCCAAAACCCGATAAAACCCTAAACTCCTAAACCGTATCTCAGAATGCTGAACCCGAACCCCCCAAAACAGTCTCCTCGAAGCTTTCAAGGTCCGAAGCATCCTCGTCCTCCGACTGCGGGGACGGCGTGTCCTCGCTTCCGATCCTGGGTGCCGGCTTCAAGTTGGGGCTTATAGGGATTTTTAGGGCTCCTGTATAACTGGGGTTTTGGGATTCTTTTGGCCACCCGTCTAGCCACAGCACTGCGCTGTTTTCTGGGTTTTTTGGTTGAGGGGTTAGGGTTTCGGTTTGGGGTTCTAGCACAGCAATGAAACTCTTCTGCGAACATGCCGGTTAAGGCAGTCCGGTATGAGGCTGTGCCTGCTATGCACTTGAGAGCACGTACGCGTACCTATACCCTCAAAACATCACCTACAGTCTACAGTGGTTTGGAGAGAACAGTCGTCACATGCAGCACTTGCTACCCGATGCAATCGCCTTCAGGATTTATGGGCTTCAGGGATGCACAAGGCTCGATCAGATGGTGGCACCATTAGGCTTCCTGGGAGGAGGCTACCTTGCGATGCTTGAGGGCCTGGGTTTGCTCCGGGGCCTCATCGTCTCTGAAGCATGATGGAGCCGCACGGTGAACCCGAAACGCTAAACCTTAAACCCTTAAGCACGGACTAACCCTTTGGAACCTGGAAGCTGCTTCATGCCAGGACTGAGGGCCGCGCAGAGTCATCAGAGACCAGCAGACCCGCAACCCTAAACCCTATAAACTCTTTTTTTTCACAAGGGACTCGACTGCTGCCTTGTGAAAACCCTATAAACTCTAAACCCTAAATCCTGTAAGCCGGAACCTGCGATGTGCACCAGGCGGCTCCTCACTGCTGTCGCTCATCCTTGCTTCTGAGGATAGGGCGAAAACAAGCAGAAGCTAAGGCAGCTAGGAGGGAAAGGACAGGCTCTGCAGTTTTGCGTAGTGCTGGGACAGCACGGATCCCAAAATTCCTGCAAGGCATCACTGGCTGGTTCCCCGTAGCCCGCACTCCCTTTCAAGAACGTTGGTGGTCAGCTAGAGTACGGGAACTAGATGATGACCCTTTGGGGCTTCAAGGGTGGTGGAGGCGAAGGTTTCGGATGCGATGTCTCACAGGAAAGTCTCTTGGGAGGCGCTTGAGTTCCCAGTGCCTTAGTGCAGTTGCAAATATCGACCTGCAGGAAGTGAAGCTCACGACCCGCAAGGCCCTGCTGAATCCACGCTGTGGCGGGTCCAAGCGTCTCATCAGAGCACCGCGGCCGGCTGGAGCGCGGCGCTTCATCCTGCTGAGTTCGTGGCGCTTCATCCTGCAGAGTTCATTTAGGCGGAGGTCGATGCTCACACGTGCACCGAGAGAGAGAGAGAGAGAGAGAGGGGAAGATAGGGCAAGGCTGGTGATGTTCAAGACAGCATTTCGATTTGCCCGGTCTGGGCTGTTAAGGTCCTAGCAAACTTTGAGGGTGACATGGAAGGGCATTCGGTTTGGTATATTCTGTGACAAAGGCTCTTGCCGCGAAAGCGTATACCAATGTTCACATGTTAAGGGGAACAGGTCCAGACCCATCGGCACCTCCTCTGCGGAGCTCATGTCGCTGCAAGCGAGCTTGCCGTGCAAGGTCTTCCTCTGAGGGTGTGCCTTCGGTTGGAGGAGTGTCACTGTAACCGGCTCCGGTTTGAAAACGGAAGACCCTGCACCAGCTTGGGTGCCAACCAATACCTTGCACCAATAACCAGTGGCTGCAGTAGCCGCTGGACCGAATTGCTGGGCCGGATGAGACCCCTCCCCACCCACCCTTCCTGAATCTCATCACTTCTTCTACGAAGTGTTGCAAGTGCCAGGTAAGCCCAGCTGCCTCCTGGAAGCAGAGCAAGCAGGAAGCTGCGGAGTAGCGCAGGTTCTGCATGCCTGGCTAAAGGACCCACAAAAGTATCCTAGCCCCCCAGATGAGTCATAGCAAGGGTTCTCGAAAGGGTTCTCGAGCTAGCCCATGCAAGCTCAGCTGGTGGCTCAGAAAGGCGCCTTTGAGGCTGATGCTTCGACTGTGAGCCCAATGAACCAATGTGCCACAAGCAAAGAGCGAAGCCTTTTCAATTCTATCAGACATCGAAACCAACGTACTGACGGTGGCAAGTTTGGAAGGAGCGTAAACTGCGCACCACGACCCCAAGCACGGCCAAGCTGCACTTTAGGCGCTCGGCGGCTTTTTTGCCAGGCATCTCCGCCAAGACGCTGGACAGCACTGTGGCCAAACTACCCACAGCTGTGAGTCCTCAGATGGCTTGACTTTGTGTGATGTGGGTCGACTTCGGAAGGCGAAGCGTCGTATCGAACAGCTTGCCGTCGTGAAATGGAACAACCACAGCGTGACGGCAAGGTCACATTGAAACCACCCTGAATTTTCACCATGTGATCCAGTCTTCCCATGGCACTCTAGCAGGATTCGAGAAGTCCCTCTGTGAAGTTGGCAAGCTGATTGACTCCAACCTTACCTCATTCCATGGGCCAGGTTCTGCTGGCACTTGCATGCTCCAGCCACTTCTGCCCCACCTTCCGCGGCAAGCAATAATCGGGGAACTGAGGCACAGCTCTTCACCCAGCGACATCCTCATACAAAGCTTAGCCCTTCCACCAGACGACCCGGATCTGCTCGGCGTGGGCTTGCAGGTTGAACGACCCTCAACCTCCTCAAAACTTACGACGCTGATCTTATAAGTCCTACTGTATGACGTACAGGGACACCCACTCAATTCGGATAAGCTTTCGAAAGTTCCCAAAAGTTCACCGAGGGCCACCTGGTCCCAGAGTGAGGCGCTGGTCTCTTGCGCCAGCTTCCGGTGGATGACCAACTCCTGTGGCTGTCAGAGTTTAGGGTTTGGGGTTTGGCGTTTAGGGTTTAGGGTATCTCGGGCGCGAGGTTCAGGGTTTAGGGTTTCCACTCTCACCGCTGACGCAACGCGCTGGCAAGAGTGTTTATAAGGACCCTCACCCCCTTGCCCCTGCAAATGGTATAGGGGTTTTTCGGTGCTCATGGAGCTCAAGGGTAGCACTTCATGGGCAGAAGGAAGCCCTTTTTTCTTGCTAATGCAGCAAGGAACCTAATCGAGGGGCGAGGGGATTCCTGAAACGCAGCAAGGGATAATCGAGGGGGCAGTGGGGGGAGGGGGGCACTGGGCTTTGCCAGCTTTTGCTGGTTGGAGCAATGTCATGAATTGTTCTAGGGTGCTTAAGGGTACCCTAATACTCCCCACTACTCCCTAAGGCTCCCTAAGCTTTCCGTTCCTAACCCCCTCCCTTAAACCCTAAAAACCATTCAGAGTGCATCTCTGGGCGGGGGTTGTTTATAGATTAGGTGACTTTTTTAAAGCAGCAATTATAAGGGAATCCCTCGCAAAAAACGCCTCTTAAAATCCGAAAGCCCCGTAGCAGGAATCAGGACTCAAGCAGGCTAACGCTCCCCCTCGTGCTTAAGTGATTCGAGCAGGCTCGCTAAGTCGCCTTGAATTTCTCGCTTGGGAAAGAAATTTCTCACTGTTTGGGTTCCGCCAACCCGCGACGCGCCTGCACGAACAAAAAAAAAAACACAGACAGCCTGGGCTGCGGGTTCGAGATCGTTGACCCCAGCTCGACCCTTTCAAAGAAGCCGCGGATCCTAGCAACGCACTCGAAACATCTCAAAACAATATGTCTTGGCCCCTCCGACATCCAAGGTGGAAGCCAACCTGCTGGGCCTTGAACTATCTCGGCGGAGGCACGAGCATGTCGCACAGGGCATGCCGCCAACAGTCGGGCCATGAGGATGTCTCGAGCAGATGCCTCACCTTTCCGGAGCCAAGACACCACACACTTAAGTTGCTTGAAGCTGTCGGCTGAACAGATACATGGGTTTGCCCGATAAATGGGGGGGCGGGGGGGGGCGGGCGATAGGTGATGGGATCAGGGTATGTTTCGTGGGTATGTTTCGGGGACATGTTTCGGGGGTATGTTTCGGGGTATGTTTCGCGGGTGTGCAAACCGTGTGCCCTTCTTAAACCTGAGCCGCCCAAAAATGAACAAGCCCACATATCAGATCATTAGATCATGGTATGCTCGGATCTGCAAGCGCGTGAGTAGCTATAAACCTTGTATCATCCTCGCATGGAGCCCCCCTAAACCCTACATCTCCCAAGCTTTGGTGCCAAAGAGCCAAGCTTGGCAGCTGGCCGATGATGGCCCGCTGAGCCTCCTTGCCGAATCCGAGCAGGATCTGGAAGTTCGTCCTGGGGATGGCCGAGGGGCCTACGAGGGCCCTTGGTCGTTGAAAAGGGACTGGGGGGGGGGGGGGGGGTGAAGATTTTAAGGGGTCTCCGGGACTTTGGGACGTGGGATCAGGGGTTATCGGTTCAAGTGTCCGAATGCATCATAATCTTCAGACAGCTGCGGCAGGAGCACAAGAAACAGGAACCCACGAACCCCTTGAAGTCCCTTTGCCGCCTCCCATAAGCCCTACATCCCTCGTGACACATGGGGGGTTTCCCAAACTAGGGGGGGCTACCATTTAGGGGGGATCTAAATTGGGGGCCCCCCCTTTTTCTTCCCAAAAAACCACCCTAAACCCTAAACCCTAAACCCTAAACCCTAAACCCTAAACCCTAAACCCTAAACCCTAAACCCTAAACCCCACATGCTTCAGGCCAGCAGCATCAGATCTGCCAGCTTCTCCGCTGCCAACGCTGCATCCGAGGCCTCCGCTGCCTCATCAGCCCAAATGGAACTTTAGGGTTCAGGGTTTAGGGTTTAGGGTTCAGGGCTTTTTGCATGATGTACAGCTTTCAGGGGTTTATATGCGGCTGGACTTACTGGTTGGTGCCGGATCAGGGCTCGGATGTTTCCACAAGGGAGGCCAGCCCAGGAAAGAAGCCCCCAATCCCTGTCCCTCTTGCCGCCTCCTTGGTGAAGCCCTTGTCAGCTGCCAGGGCCATCGCTGTCATCGATTTCCTTTGTGTCTGGAAATCAGGGATGGCAGGCATTTGCGAAGCTTCAGTCTTTGCTTGCGCTTGAGCGGCGGGACTGTGACGTCCCGCAAAGTTCCCACGGCGACATCAAGCGCCAAAACCCACGCCAGGCGTCTCTACACGCGCCATGAAGGAACCGACCAGCGGCTCGCAGCCAAACTTCTCCACCAGCGATGACATGAGGGTTTGGATTTCCTGCCAAAGCTTGAAGCCTAACAACGAACACAAAAGGCTGGATGATGCTGGATGCATAGCCTGGGCGGGTGGCCTCTTCAGAGTTGCCCACTACACGATTTTGCAGAGTGTGATCAGGGTTTTCGATCAGGGCAATCTGGAGTATGCCGAATGCTTTCTTTGTTGGGCAAGCCAACTTTTACATTGCTCGCGGCTCCAAGCATCCAGTCTGAGGGTAACGAGCAGCATTTGACACATCACCAACCTCCGGCCACGACAACCGAAAAAAAGGAAAGTGCGAGATGAGGAGGCTTTAAAGCCAAGTGGACTTGAGCAAGCGCTTCGACGGCCAGGAAAAAAAACATGCACAAATACACGACACACAGTAGGCAACGCAACACAGCCTGCGGATTGGACTTGATGAGATGAGGGGCTGGCTTCGGTGGAAACCTTGCTTGGGGAGGAGGTGCATGTTTGCTGGCGCCGCAGCCAGGTGCTGTTTTGGGCGGCTCGCCATTGGCGCAACCGCTGGGAACCGTAAACCCTAAACGGCCCTAAACCCATTGCAGCTCCAGCACTCCGGGTCTCCTGCACCTTGTTTCCTTCCGTCGTGACCTGCGGCTCGGGTGCTCGCCTCGCCAGGAGCAACCAACGCATTCATGAGAGGGTTTTTTTGCCACCTGCCTAGCAGGCTCGCAACCACGAGAAGTTTAGGGTTTAGGGAAGTTTAGGGCTAGCGGGGAGACTGCAGAGTCACTTACGTCGGAAAGAGGAAGCGGGAGAGCAAGACAAGGAGAGAGAGGCGTCTTCCAGAGTATCAAAGGTGGGCTGCTGTTTGGGGGCCTCTTCCTGGTATCAACCTCCCAAGCCACTTTTGCTGGTCTCATTCGCAGGACAAGCGATGTTCACAAGGACTTATATACAACTCCCAAACAACCTTATCGCAATGACCCCAACTAACACCCTCACTCTGAGGGTGCTATTCGTTTTGTAGGGTTCATGTCAGTGGCGCCTCTTCTTGGTAGCCGACTTGGGGCTGGCGCCCGGCCGCCGCTGCGAAGGCGTGCGCATCGGTGTCGGGGAGTCCGGCTCACCTTCTTGAGAGGGGAGTGGGGACTGGCTTAGGATTGGAGTGGGAGGGTTGAAAGAAAGATTCAAGTCCGCAGGGTCGCCAACCTGCGTGTCTGAAGTCGAACTAAGGAAGCTTTTGTTTTGGATCTTATCACTCCCTATAGGCTCGCTTTAAGGCTTCGGCTCTCACACTCGAACAAGGCAGACCCGGGCAAGGCAATTGTCCGATAGTCTGCAAAGTCAGAAGACACTACTTGCCCCCAGCACAGCAAGCAGAGGGTTTGGTCCCTAATGCTAGCAGTCCTTAATGGGATTATACTAGGGGGTTACTATAATCCCGATTAGGGACTGTTTGTAAAAGGGGGAACATCCCAATTTTCGTCCACTACAAGTATTGCTGCAAAACTGTGCTACTGCTTCGGACATGCCCAGCCCTCACGATGCTCTGAGCAATGCCAGGTTCAGGCATGTAGACTACCGGATGGCCAGAGCAGACGTCACACACGCGTTGAGAACCGAAACCTACGCAACCTGCAGCAGCCTCATCACCACCTCGACTTCTCTCGACTTCACGATCCCCCCCCCCCCCCCCCCCCACGAAATGCGGCTGCCCAGGGGCCCTGGTCTGGCTGCCAGCGGCCGGCTTGTCCCAAGTGCTTGAGCACTTCACGACGCACGTGGGCCATGAGCCTTACTCGGCTTGTTTGGGGAGCCCTTGCTTCCAACTGGAACTCCAGCAGTTTCCAGATTGCGCTAGCATCAAGCAACCAGCAAAAAGAACAACTAAAACAAAAGACAGCGCTAGAATGCTAGAAGGCCCCAGCGACAGCATCTCCTCGGCATTCACTTGCTCCAGGCCTTCGGCTGCGAGGCTGTCGTGAATCTCCTGAGACAAGCCTCAGGCGCAACCAGTGGCCACCAGCATCTTTCGAAGTCTTATAACCTTAAAAAAAGGCCTTCTGCCAAGGTTGAACTAGGCATGCGTTTCTGTACTCTTTGTTTTAACCTATATTTACACAAGCACACCTTAGGATCCCAAAGTGGGCCCGGGAGCAGGCTAAGCCATAGATGCATTTGGGACCGGGAAGTCTCGACGCTTTCAGCTTGGGATCCTCGTGTTCGGTGTCGTGTGGGAGGAGCATCGGTGCTCTCAGCCAGATGAGCTGCAGGAGGGCGGTCGCCGCATGGTCTATGAGGGGCTTCTTCAGAATCAGGTCGTGCAATGGCTGGATATGCCGGCCCAGGATCCCCCAGTCGCAGTCCCAACACCTGGTGATGCCAGCTAAAGTGCATTCCAGCAGAGTCGGCAGCAGTAAGATCCCCAGATTCCTTGCATTGAAGGACAGCTCCACGGCCGTGGTGCTGGGCTGGTTGCTCAGGTGTTCTGCCATTGCCGCCTCCAGCTTTAGGAAGCCATTGATCCTTGGGACTTTGGGGCGAGGGTCAAGAATCGAAAAAAGTGCACTACGTAGATCGGCTCCTTCCAAGACCAAGCTGCCACAAACTGCTAGCTGCTTCGGGTTGTCTCCTTGCTTGCTGTTGCTGGCAGCTTGGACGAAGCACTTTGTTCAAGCACCGAGAAGCATGTCACTAACGATGGCCATGGCCTCCTCTGCTGCCACTTGGCCTCAGATAGCTGCAGATTCCAGTACTGAGATGCCAATGACACAGCCGTCCAGAAGCTCATAAAGATTAAGTTGGCCTTTTAACCCTCGGAAGCTTGAGCTAGGTACCACGCTTGATGGCCAGTCAGGGAACCTCACGTGCTACGGCCTTATCAGCTTCCGAGGCCTGGTTGACAAAGAGCCCACATATCGCACACGACAACGCATGCTCTTCGAGCAGCCTTGGGCCAGAATGGAGCCGGCCTGCCGTGACGGGGACCCTGTGAGAAGCCCAGTGTCATCACAGCAGTCTGCGCATCTCTGCGATTTGCCTTAACCGTATTTTTCAGCTGGCTTCGGGCTGTGTAAGGCCTTGCTGCCAAACCCGCTGTTGGACTCTAAGCATTAGAACATCACCCCCTGCACCCCAAGCCATACCCTTCCAGCCTCCACGGACAAGATTTCATCGAAGCGCCGTGCAACTGTCATTTCGCTGCCCAGGCAACTCCTGACTCAACCCTGCCAAGCCGTTGTAGATGGCTGGTGGTTTGTGCCTGCTGGGTGGGACCTTGAAGTTTTTTGAGAGGAAGGCTGAGGTTTCATTTTGACCATTGGGTTGTGGGGTATGCCCTTTTGGAGTATGCCCTCGTGGCACCATGTAACGAACTTTGCGTCGAAAGCCCACGAAACTCCCTTGCGTGCTGCGGCTGAGGCCTGTGACGGGAAGGATCTACGCACAACTTGAAGCGCCTAACGCCTCTCCGCGCGCCTGAAGTCCCTAAGTCCGTGCCCCAAACCGTCTCCTCACCAGCTGCAGCGCTGCTATAGCTTGGGAGGGGCCTTTAGCCGCGCGCTGCAGCTCCTGGGCGACGTGCCGGCACTGCCCCAGAGTGGCCTCGGGGTGCAAGGAAAGGCCATTCAGGTGCCCAGGGGCTGGTGCTGTTGATGTCGGAGATTGTCGGAGGTTGGCACTGTCTACATTCCCGAACACGAGTCAGCGCTTAAAACTCTCTGCCTGTACATGGAGGCATGCGAGAGCGTAGGCAGTGGTTGCATGAGAACGATGACAGCATGGCATCAGCCCAGGCATCAGATTCGTGGGCGGTGGGTGAGAGGTATCCCGGCATATGAACCCTGGGACTTGTAGAGCGTCTGCCTGTTCGACGGGGTGCGGATTCAACAACACGCCAACCCTTTACCCGGAAAAAAACTACGGTGCTTCATCTGGGAACCGAGCCCCTTTCGGATGTCAGAATGCTACCACCAAGGGTTCTACATCAGCATGCGCTCTGAGGTCCAAAGCCTCAGGCGCTGCACCCGCCGATGGTTCGGTGGCGCATGCCCTGAGTTCGAGAGTTCGGTGGGGCAGCACATATGAGGGAGGTGATAGTTGGGCTTCTTGACGAAATCCCTTCTAGCGTTCAGGGTGCGGTACCAGCAAGGCCTATGATTTTTAAATCGGGATGGTGTGCCTCTCTTTGTTCACTGCCTGATCTGGCTTCATGGGCAAGGCTTGACATCCGCCCTGCGCCTAGCAGCGGAAATTCAAAAGGCAACCCTGATATAGCGCCCCATGATCGAGTCACCCTTGCCTAAACCTCGGTCGAGCCCTGTGTTTTGCCCGTCCCTCTACGCTAGTCGCCGACACGTACTGTCACAAAGCCCTGCCACAACTAAAAACCGCAAACCCTGTACGACGACTCTACAACCTCGCGGGAACCTTGCAGGAACCCAGCTACATGGCTGTGTTGCGTGTCCCTGCACACGCGGGCTGGATGAAGAGGGCCTGTAGATGATAACCTTTCTAGGAGGTGAGTCATCAAACCAAACCCTGCACCCTGGAAGGTGCCAGCCCGAGCTTGTCTTCCAAAGCCCTGGAAAATATGAACTCTGGAACTCAACTTGAAATGCATGCCTTCCGCTGAGGCTGAGTTTGTGTGCACGCGCGCACGCCGGTGGCAGGTTAAGAGGTTAAGGCGTTTCGCTCCCTTATGAACTTGAGAGCTCAAACCCCATGAACTAAGCAAAACACTGGTACCCCTTTCATTTTCTCAGCCCATGGCTGCTCTGGCCATGCCCAGCGTGCCTGACTGCCGAGGTCACACAGGGCCTGCTCCTGGTACAGGGCGTAAGCATTTAGGGCTTTGTTTTGCCACCCGCGGGGCTGACCGTGTTCTGGGTTAGGTTTTCGACTCTCTGGAGCTGCAAGCAGCCTTTACCTCTGGTATATCCATATCACCCTCACGCCACTCCCGACAACAATAAACGATGGACCCAGAATGATGTTGCTCACTACCGCACAAACGATGGGATCGGAACACTCGCTCTTGGACTTGTGATCCGGACGATGGCATGCTCGGTACTTAAGGGCTTGACCCTGCTTCAGGGGGCTTTAGGGTTTGGCCCGTAGGCTTGCATTGTGATTGTTTGGGGGTCATGGCTCGCGGGGGCACAAAGGGCTACTGAGGAGTTCACGGGCAAACATGTTTGCTCGGTGTTTCTCCTATTTGTCTTCTGTAAAACCTGGTGTCGCTAGAGCCTTTCAGAATTCTGACTGATTCAACCTTTCCAACTTCCACCTCACCGAAGATGATACATCTGAGGACTATCCATCTGCAAGCAAGCATCTAAGCTTGTGAGCTCTGGGTCGTCCGTGCTCATTGGAACACGTGCCACCCTTGCTGTAGGAACCTCCATGCAGTCGGTAGGAGGCTTGGGACTCGATACCTTGGGGTCTCTGTTTGAAAAGGTCAACAAAGAACCCGGGATTTAGAGGTGCTCGTTTAGAGCTTCGGGGGTATGAGTCATGTTATACTTGGGTTTGTAGAACACGCGAGCTGCGGCTACAGACTTGACTTGTGCTACGAATCCTGGGACTAAACCAGCCATTAGTTACGCCAAGTCGCTGTAGCAACCGACGAGTGCAGCCTACCGTGGCAAGCCGCACAGCTACAGCTCCCCACCAGCTCGAGGTGGAACAGCTGCGAGTCCGGGTTCCAAGTTCACTAGTGTCATCCCTTGTGCAGTTAGAAAGAAATAGAACGTATCCAGGTTCAGGGCATGATGGCAGTATCTCAAGGTGCGAACTTGTCGGTCTGCAGCTTTTGAGTTCAAAGCTCAAGTCCTTGTCGCGTGCAACCATTCTTCGGGGGGGCTTCAAGGTCCTGTTAGGCCTCTTGGCACGCACATGGACACTTGCTGCGCAGTGCTGAGCATGGGACGCGGGGCTTTGATACTTAGGATATAGGATAAGCTTCGGCGCACTTTCTTGAGAAGGATTCGATGCGTACTGACCTGATCAAGCGCATGCGAACGACAATGAATGAATTTGTAGCTGAAGCTAATAGTAGGCAAGAGGGCTTCTGAATTTCTGCCTGGGCCTGATGTGTGTGTGTGTGTGGTACAGTAGCCAAAATAAAGCCGCCACGATTGTATATGACTTTACGCTCTTACGCAACATTCCGCCACAGATTCTCTGGCACTGCCCTGGTCGTAAATGAAACACTAGCACCGTCAATCCTGCAGGTCCTTTTTCCCTAAACCCTAAACCCTAAACCCTAAACACTAAACCTGAAAAAATAGACCAGACCCTGCAAATGTGCAGCAGCGGATCGGAGGCCGCCCCTGGAATTCACATCTTGCAAGACGAGGCTCCAGGCCTTAGGCATGTGGCTCCGGACCATAGGCTTTTGAAGCACATTGGTGTGCCACTTGGTGCCACTTGCTTCTAGAAAAATAGGCCTGCAGCAGTGCACCACGCACACCTCTCTGCTTCATTCCGAGGTACGTCTTGTTTGAATTTCATGGGGGGGACGGGAAGCCCACACTAAATCGTTTGCAACAAAAGGGTACATTTCGCCCCCTACATGCATGGGAATGCTGGGCCACCTGAAAAGATGGAGTTGACGAACACACACACGGTGTTTCGTGTGTTCTGTTGCTGACTAGGCCCAGATGGGTATTTCCTAGCCCAGATTTACTCTAATCCAGATTCCAGGAGCCCGACAGTTGGACCTCACCTTCGGAATCCCCCCTCCTCCCCCCCAGGATATGCCTTTCCTGGTGACGGCACCAGATGTTATGGACTGAAGACTGGCTTTCAATGAGTGGGGGGAAATACATCCTTCTAATTGGGGCCGGGCTCTGCATCAGTAACCCTTTTTTTGACTTTAAACAGCAATCCGCTGCATCTGCATGCGTTTACCGGCAACCCAACTTGCCAGAACAAGCCCTAGCTACCTTCATCTTGCTATGATTTGCCGCAAACACTGGAACCTGGCTGACTAGTAGCGGCCTGCTGACTTCGTGCTTGGCGCACCTAACTCCTCTCACACATAAATCTCTGAAGCAAATGAAGCGGGCCTGAATCATCTGCTGTCCTTCATGAAAACGGTCTCCCCTGCAAACAGAAAGCACAGAGGAACCTCTACAGTGCCGCCAACGCTTAGGGTCTGCCTCCGTCTCCCTTGGTACGTCTCGAACTGCGCAGCATCAAAGATTTTGACTCGAAGTCTGATGGTCCAAAGCTTGTAAGACATTTATAAACGGCGGTGTAGGAAGTGCAGCAGAATGCGGTCGCAGCGTTTCCAACGACCGCCAAAAAAAACTCACCACAACCATTGTGTTGCATTGCCGGATATTGTCGGTATAGACTGAAGTGCACACAAAGTGAAAACGAGGTTCTTGGGGGTAAGGAGCAATGTTGGAATGCTTGCCTATCACAAGCCGACCAAAGTTATGGTAGAGTACTGTAGTTGGAACGCTTGGGCGCGAACCTGACAGTCAAG